ATAATGACAAGTATGAATATATGTCAAACAACAATAATGGAGATTACCTGATAATCAGATAGTCTCACATAGAAATTGTGTCTTCAAATGTAGGAAGATAATTATCAGGTTGTTGAAAACAAGGAGCTGAAAGGCAGAGGGAACTCAGAAGGCAGATGCCATTTGCAGCTGAAGACAAGACTCAGAGAAGACTTGCTGGAGGAAGATGCTGAATCTTTGGTGGATGGAGCTAAAGGAGAAATGGAGCTGGTGAGGAGACAGCCAGGGTCTCCAGAGGAGCAGGTACAATCACCTCCTATGCACAAAGGTGACAAAATAACCTCACCTCTAGGATTGTCACCAATCAGAAACCTATTTCCTGGTCCCAAGACTTTCCTTCTTCATGGTCCTGAGAGTGAGGCTGTCAAGTAGGAGTCCTTCTATAAACCCTCCAGATTGAGTGTATTTCTCCCACTTGCTACTGGGACAAGAGGGCAAAATGAGACTCTCTCAGCCTCATTCTGGGGAGGCTCCCACGCAGTAGATGCTCCCAATTCCTCATGTTTTTTTAAAGTTATTTTTTACTGTCACCCTTTGACATTCACACACACACACACACACACACACACACACACACACACACACACCCCGCTCCCCTCCAAAAACCCAAAACTGCCACTGTGGTGGTCAATGGCTAGAAATAAAGAAATTATTTTTTAAGGAGCTATGAATATGTTGAATTGTATCTTTCCCCTCTGGGACCTCCTGAAGAGTGTGACAGGTGTCTCCAGAAGTTTGGGAGCGCACATGGGGGGTGCACATCTGTTTTCTGTCTAAGGAAGCTAAAGCCGAGCCTGGGCTGATGCGCTGCTCTGCAGGGGGAGGGTGGAGTGATGAGAGGTGGGTTCTTTGGAAGAAGCAGTGACTCCCAGCACTGGGGAGGGGTGGCTGCTCTCCTCACACATGGAGGAGCTGGAAGAAGCTGGATATAGACAAGGAAAGAGAGCTGATGTCCACCTGACCCACCACCATCTCAGACAACAGCCCAGGGTGAGCCCAGCTGGGGGAGGGGACACACTGGAGAGTAAGTGCTTCTTCAGAGGACTAGCATTGCCGTGCACTCAAGGAAGACTCCCCTGTGACAAGAAATGCCCATAGAGCAGTATTATTTAAGTGTTCTGGAAAAGGCATGAGACTTGTCAGAGATGTCACACAAGGGACAAGAGAAACTGGCCCCAGAGGAAAACCTAGTCACATAAGGGAGAATAATAAAGCTTATGGCTGATTGCATCTCCTGATACAAATTGTTTAATAAACAGGTAAACACTCAAAGGGATAAACCCACACTGAGGAAAGCTGATAAAGACAAATCAGGCATTCTACTGTCCCTAGGTCACTGCTTAGTGACCAGAAAAGTCCACAGGTAAAGGAACAAAGCACCAAGTAGGGACAGCTGTGTCTGTCTTCCACAGTGAAAGGGAGAGCCGAGCCATGTCTGATGCCCAAAGGAGAACTGCTTCTGTGCTTTTACAGGAGACACTGTGGTGCATCTCAGATGCAAGCCAGCTGCACGCCCCTCGGTACCATCACTAATTGCACGCCCCTCGGTACCATCACTAATTATCTATTTTCTCCCACATCTTATCATGCTGCTCAAGGCTTGCTCACTGACCTGTTTATGTATAATGAATTCGCAATTTATTTAATCCACCAAATAAGCTATGTCTTCCATGAGGAAAGTATCAAGCAAGAAAGAGGATGCTGTGATTTTAGGTCACTAAAAAAATCACTGAGGCTCCCAACACCAAGCTCAAGTCTGAGAGAAACCCCCACTGGTGAGGGTGTTGGTGAATCTGAGCTATTTCATCTCCACTAGCAGAATGAACAGGTGAAACACCCGCCACCTTGTTTTCAGAAGGCATAGATCGTCATCAAAAGAAATGCCACAATATCAAATCTAATTTGAATGTGAGAATATAATGTTAACATTTTCAGAAAGATGTGTTGTGAATGAAAAAAATGAATAAAGCAAAACAGTTTATGAAGAATATTTATATACGATAAGAGATGTCTAAAAAACCAGAACAGAGAATAGTCAACAAGAATTGTAAAACTATGTGTTTTTACACAGCATACTTGCAGGAGGATGCTTGACTGTGTATTTCATACAGAGCCTGAAATACTCTTGGAATACATAAAAACTTGCAAAATGTGAATCTCTTGATTCCAAAGGCAGGAACAGTGTTAAAAGACTGTGTGGCATGTTCATCTCTCATATGTGACCTGTGGAAAGCCCAAACTAAGCAAGAGTTCAATGGGTATGAAACACACACACACACATCAAAAGTAATCCTTTCTTTTGGAGAAAAGGCTGGGGAAAGGGACATCTGTGAATGCAGGAGTAGGGGGGTAGGTCACTGTTTTCTTTATTCTTTCTCTCTGGTCATAGATTTTCACTGGTACAGCAGTGGCTGATAAAAACTCATCTTTCTGGACAGATGAAACAGTAACAGGTGCCCTGTGGTCTGATGAGTTTAAAGAAATTCTCATTATGTTTTCCTTTTTTTTCTTGGTTTTTTTTTTTTTTTTTTTTTGCTATAGAGAGACAGTACTTATGCAGAAATGTTTGGCTGTATAGGAAAATAAAACTCTTAGAGAAAATTGAAAATAAGATTTTTAATAGTCAGTTTGTGGTGGGATAATGTGATTACTGAATGTGGAGATACTTTACTCCTGTGAATGAACTATTTACAAACTGAGTGTCAAGGTAATGATTAATCTCATCTTGAGCAGAAAACACTTCCCCCCCAAAAGAATATAGACTTTTGTCAATAAAATACTGTATAAACCAAAGTGCAAGTCTCAAGTAAACGTTCGAGTGGCACATGCACATCACAGAGTCAAACAGAAACATCCTGGCAAATCTTTGAAAATCTAACTTGTACTGGAGCCGTTGCTTGTTAAAGGAATGACAGAACATACCATGTGAAACTCAAACAAACCACAATAATAACAAAATAAAATTCTCCAGAGGATTGTTGTGAGATTCAGGATAATGTTTACCATGTTCAGGATACAATTTGAAATGATTTGACATATAAAGTACCAGGAAAATGTGACTAATTCTCAGGAAAACAGAAAATTAACAAAATTCCAACGATGAGATTATTTAGATGTAGAAATTTTCTGACAAAGGCTTTAAAGTATCTAGTATAACAATTTCCCATGCGGTCATAAATACATAGTTTTATCTAGTATAACAATTTCCCATGCGGTCATAAATACATAGTTTTGAAGTAAACAGTAAGACCTCAGTTCCCAGGAGAATATATGAAACTCCTTATTTAAAATTTTCGTCAGCATTATGTTAATGCTCTTTGATAGTGCAGTTTTTGGGGAGAGGGATCCATAGCTTTTGTGTTCTTACTGGACTATGTAACTCCCTCCAAACGCGAAGGGTGGAATTTGCTGTCAAAAAGTGCCACTAGAGGGCGCACATCAGCCAGCAGAGGGAGCATGAATGTGCTGCAGGAACAAGCGCCCAGCGAGAGCCACAGCCTGGAGTCCAGTCCCTAGAGGAAGAGCCCAGGCGCACAGTGTGAATAGGCTCTTTGAATAGTTTAAATAGACACAGTTAATTTTTTTTATTATTTCACATGTTGTGTTCTAAAGCCCTTTGAATAGTTTAAATAGACACAGTTAATTTTTTTTATTATTTCACATGTTGTGTTCTAAGTATTAACAATATAAAACAACACAGTGAAATTTTAGAACTGAAAACCATAATATCTGACATAAAAAAATTCAAGTGGGTGAACCCCCAAACAGGATGGATGTGACATAGA